TATTCAAATTATATTTTAAGATAAAAAAAGAAGAAAGGCTGGTTAAAATTGGCTTTAAATTTCCTTTAGTTTTTCTTACACAGTTCCATTTTTATAAATTCAAAAATGAATCTTCATCTATAAACCGTATCCCTTTAGGACGTAGTTGATTATGGCTCACCATAAATCCCCCCTATCTTTTGTTGTCCTTAGCAGCGTTTATCCCTTTGTCAAGCCTCGCGCGCCTGTTCCCCCATCCATCACGCAAGCTCGTCAGGTAGGTTGCTCAATGCTTTATCCTATCTATTTTGCCCTCAATATGCCCGGTGAGGATTAAGTTCTCCAAACCCTCCTTCCTCATTACGTGTCTCGTCCTGATTCTGAGTATAATTGTTCTTTTTGTTTCCATTTTTCTTAAGACATCCTCATTGCTAACTCCGTCCATGGAATTCTCAACATCCTTCTGTAGCACCACATTTCTGTTGCCTCAAGTAAGTATCCGTAATATATGTACGCATGGTGGTCATTATTCTCTATTTTTTACCGTCGGAACATTCATTGTTTCACAAATTCTTCTTGCTGTCATTCTCCATGTTTTCATTTAAAAGACACCAGAGGGAAGAAAATAAAAATTATATTGTGGCGCTGTAGCACGTGACTGAGAATAGGCTGAATTTGTTTTTTTTTGGGGGGGTGGTCATTAATTTAAGTTTAATGGATTGGAGGAGAAACGGAAATGAGTCAGCGAAATGAGAAACGCCGGGAAGAGAACGTGGTAAGAAAAAAAACAAAAAAAAACAACAAAAAAAAAAAAACAACAGACGATCGTCTGCAATCAGAGATAAACAATTGTTTGGAGAGATGGTGAACCATGTGATCACACGAAGAAGTTGGCTTTTACAAGACCGAACGTTGCTTGTCAGCCATAGTGCCATTACTTCACTCTTCTGATCCTCACTAGGTGTCCCGTATTTGAATCTTTGTACCCAAACTAAGCTAAGCTGAGTAAATAAAAAAGACGTAACAGACAGTTACTACTCAGTACTGAGTTCGATTCTCACTGGTACCACATACTTGTAACCTGATGCTAAAGTCAGCTAAGCTTAGTGAATAACAACAACAGTGGAAGCTGTCATTCTCCCGCCGTGAAGTTCGTGAGAGAAAAAAAAAAAAAAAAAAAAAAAAATGCAGGAATTGGCACTGTCGATGTTTTATGTGACAGGAAATGGAAACCTGCATGTTGCTGACACAGAAGCCACTGTGACTGAGTCCTTGTTTAATCTGGGTCAGAATTCTCCTTTGTAGTATATTATTGCGAAATTTTCCCTCTTTATATTTCAATGTTTATTCTTTAAATTTAGTTAAGACCCAAAATGAAGTGTGGTAGAAGGCAACCAGAAAAATATAAATATACATATTTAGGAAATGAATTAAATCCAACATATTTTTATTTTTAATTTATTTTATTTAAACGTTATTGTTGATGGATACTTATTCGAGTAGAAGCCCTGTTTTTTTAATTAAACAGTATTTTTTATCCAAGTTCATCTACCGGCCTGAATATTCGAGAAATCGTGTTAGAAAAATATGCGTCCTCTGACAGGATTCGAACCTGCATCCCTTATGACGAACCGTCATAATGAAACTTCACAATTGTCAACATATTCTTGACTTGAATTTATGTCTACATCTCACTAGTGCAGATTTTCTCCTGTGCCAGAGGATTGAAAATTAATATGAAATGATTGAGACTCAGTGGAGGTGTTTGTCTCCCTAGGCTTTACCTTATCTTCCGGAGGGGTTAATTCTTGGCACTTCAGCTGTTACCAAAGTGCGGAGGGAGCTTGAACAGTTTGTGAACCTTGGCCAGTGTACGCAGCACCCCCTTATAAAACATAAACTCGATCTTGTGTGATATCTTCTACGAAGTGTGCATACCAATTGTTGTGGGCCAGATGTACGTGTTGAGAGATAAACACGAACATGAACATGGTAGACTCAGAGTATGAGTCCACCTAAAAAACTGTCAGGAAAGAACAAGGACCAAGATATATATATATATGTATATATACAAACAACAATGTATTAACAATAAAGGGTTACATAAATAATAGAATATTGTATTACTGAATGATGAACATGAATGAAGAAAACATTTAAGCTAGTGAATTGTTTGCGTGTGTGTAGTTGGGTGTAGGTGAAAGCCCTAGTAAAAATGAAGTGAAAGGTGCATACGTACGTGTGTGTGTTTATTGTTCATGTGTGTCCAAAAAAGAGAACGCGTTTTTCCGCTAGAAATTTACATGTTGACGTCTATGCGGAAAAATGAGAAAAAGAGGACGAGAAAAGATATCGCCGAGTATTTATAGTACTGGAAAGCGTCCCCAAGTAGCGGTTTCGAAAATTAGGAGGAGGTGACCCAACACAAATAATTACTAGAACTAATAAAGATTTATTTTAGTAAATGAATCCACAACTCAGTGATGAAGCAATTAGGAAAGTGTTCGAATGCAATCGAATTAAGAAAATGTCATGTTAGGTTTCATACCTTTTTTTTTCATAATAATATTGACTGCATATCTTCTCGGCAACACTGAAACCTTTCAAACGTTTTTACACTCATTTTTGATTGTGTAAATTCGTATCATTTTAGCATTCATATCTCTACCTATATTTTTATGTCCAATGCTTTTCTACGTCAACATAAAAGTCGACTACATAAAGATGGTCAAATTAGCAATCTCTATGTTTTGGTCTATTCCGCTGACGTAGTAGAAATAGAATTTTCTCCTATTTAAGCTGACAAATAAAACGGTGAAAATATAAAAGAATTAATGGCAAAATTATTGCCACATTTAAACTAAACACTATAGTCTTATCCCCTTCAAGTTAAAGGTCAATTTTTATCTTGCCCCCTTATCCCAATAATCTTCACTTTTTACCGCACCTTATTCATCACAAACACTAACGCTCTATCTTGAGGCTTGTGGAATTTAGAATATAAACACAAAAAATAGAGTTGTGTATGCAAGTAAACAGAGGGGTAATAAATGATTATTTATTAAATTTAATTTTAAGACGAAGTCATTGTAATGGGGTATTTGGTGAGGATTAAACTCATTTCACGAGAGAATTGCTCCGAAGATGTATACTTATGCAGTAGCGAATTGGTTTGCGTTTCGCGCTTGCTAGAATTACAGGAAATCAAGGAATGATACCGTTATTAATATGTTGACTCACGATAACGAGTTTTACTTAGACAATTAAAAAACAAAAATCTCTTTAGTTCAAAGCTCTCAAGCTGAAATAAAAAGTGATATACCCTAACGTATTTGTTTTTTTTCGTAATGAGCTTCACCTACCTGAACCTTTGACATGAAGTTCTCCTGTTCAGTACTCTACAACTTATTCTTCGCAACTGGAAAGACAATCTAAACAGTCTTATTTTTGTTTTTGTAGTAAGGGCGGCTGGTCGTATCCCACAATGCATTGCAGGTTATTAAAATTGAGCCTGATGTCTATTAACGAAAGTGCTATTGTTAAAACTGAGGAATCCAATTAGTGACTTGCTAGTCTAATGGACGACAACCATTTTCAGTTGGATACCAAAAATGGACTTCACGCCTCGGGGCATTGCATAAACAATGTACGTATGGGAAATATAGTCAATATTGTGTTTTCATTTTATTTTCGGTGATAAAAGCACACTTTAATGACGACGACTAGAGTATAACAGCAGCAGCAGCAGCAACAAGAACGACAACAACAACGATAACAATAATAATAATAATAGCAGCAACAGCAGCAACAATAATAATAATTTAAAGTATGACAACTACAATGGTTTAATCGTCCTATGACGATATTCTACATCCGGGGCAGCAAAGCCTCTGATTGGGCGAGTGGAAATTTTGAGGAGCGTGGAATTGCCTTTTAATTGCTCTCGTTCTCAGGTCCCCCTGACCCGGGGTGGTAGCACCTGTTAGGGTCCCAGCTCTGGGTAAATAGTGAATACCCCTCAAATAAAAATCAACAGGACATTTTTATAATGAAAAAAAAAAAAAACAATACATTTTTATAGGGAAATGAACGCAACATTAAAAAAAAATATGAAAATACATTTTTATAATAAAATTACCAACTATACATTTCATGATCTATAAAATATATATCTGAAACATATACCTTTACCCTTAAAGCTAAAATATCTGTAGTTGAAAGCATAAAATTACATACAAAATATTTAGATTTCGGCATTAAAAAAACCCATGGAGGTGTTGATAAGCCACCAAACAAAGAAAGCCCGAAATAGTTCGAACAAACACAGCTCATATCTTGCGAAGAGATTTGCCCATTTAAGTTTTTTAATAGCTGTCGTTTGTTTAGTTAAGTGGAAACAACGAAACATCATTGTTCGCTTGCTTCAGGGTTATAGGTTATGACCCCCGGTATGGAATTATGAAACAAATGCAGGTCAAAAAGAATTTTTAAAATAATAATAATAATAATAATAATCTCTCTGCCTCGCAAGACGCCTTGGGGATAGCTGAAAACATTGGGAGTGCGCAGGTAGCTGTGTTGGTTAAAACAGCTCGTGTTTTAAGGAAAAACTAGAAGAGATTGTGCACCAGGAATTTTGTTTATTTGATTTCCATTCTTTATCAGACTCAAGTAGTTCTTGTGAAAAACTTGAGTGGAACCTTCTTCTTACATTTAGAATACGGGGGTAATGTTGGTGATTCGGCTCCTTGGAAACTCACTGGAACATTTGTCATGGAAATAGCGATAGAGTAACGATAGTCTAGCGAGGTTGCGTTTGTTTGTACAAAGGTTGCAGACAGGCAGAATCTTAAAGTCCTATTAAAAGTTAAAATTTCGAATACCGATTTTCAAGGCTAGCATGGCCGCCTCAATTAGAACATTGGCGTAATACAATCTTCTTAGTCTTATTTGCTATTCAGGGGAAATAAGTATTAAATTTTAAATCGATCAAATTATACTCTAACCATACTGAACACTTCATGAACTGTCTCCGAGCAATGCAGGTTAATTGGCGGCGCCCATCTCCTCATGAAGCAGGTCAAAACTATCTAATCGTTCCATAGCTCTAAAATTGTGTCGAGATGCCATGTTGTCTGCTTCATTGCATTTCTTGGAGAAATCGAGGTTATTTGGTGATTTTCGTCTCCAAGCAACATGTAACAGGTTCTATTGGCTTATATGCTACTAACAGAGGGGGGTTATCTGTAAGGACATGAATATTCATGCATATCTCGACGGCATTAGTGCAAAGGAAACCTAAACAATCTTAGCTAGAACTTGTTTCGTCGTTTCCACTTTTGGGATTATTCAGACCAACTCGGCGTACACCGCATTTACTCGTGTATAAGTTGACTTTATGTATAGTGTGACCCCTGAACATTATTGCATGAATTTTAATCACTCCAGACAATATTACCTGTGTATAGTGCAACCGATCACAGAAAACACATGACGTCTAACCTTTTCAAAAAATTATCTGTGTATAGGGCGACCCTTATTTTTACGTAAAACTTTACGGTAAATATTTTAAGCAGTAGAATTTGAGAAAAAGGAAAACGGAAAAAAGGGATTCAATAATTAGGAACTAAGGAATTAGTCGCCATCTCCAATGCCATTAGATTTTGTAACAAATTATGCAGCACTTATTTCGATTAAACGAGTTACTTAGAATGATTACTTCGCTACTTATGTAAATGTAAAAAAAAAACAGTTTTAATTTGCAGTATCCACTGTGCCATGTGTCCTTGGCGGTGGAGAACTTGGAGAGGGGAATTAACAGGTGATAACTGATAACTGACATCCGTTAGACATGGCACGTGGAACTAGAACAGTGTACCCCAGTGAGCGAAATAAAGGGTTCAGTTCGACATTCTAACCAGCAGAAGAAGGCCGGGGCGTACAACGGCCGAAACGTTGTAATAAATATGGCGACAAAGATGAGGACAATTGTCCGAACAATGTAAATAGAGAACAATTGCCGTTTAAATATTTATAGGAGAAGCAAAGAGAAACAACATAGCGTCAGTGAGAAAGTGATTGATACTGAAGACAGCAGGTCAGGACCGACAGCGTAAGTCACACGTGCGGCTGGCGTAACTGCCATCGGCGCGGAAAGGGGGTTCAGCGAACCGGGTTCAAATTCCAGGCAAATCTGTTGCGTTCACTTTCGCACTGATGCACGTGGGAAAAAACGTTTATCTATCGCTTCTTCCTGAACCCAGCAATGGGTTAAATAGTAAAGTAGATTAGTGTCTCTGGCCTTGTGTATAAGTCAGTCTAGGAGAAGGACAACTCTGAATTCAAAACCGCCGAGACCAGCCCATCATCTTTCTTTAAAACTTATGAGAAATCACAGATAATAGAAAAAAGAAAAAAAGAAAGGAAATCTGTGGAGAGCCATGAACATCGGCATCCAGAGTGGACATAAGATCATTAAATAAACTTAATATTATCTATGTATAGTTGGCCACTCGTAGTCGAGGATACCTGTCTACTAGGGCGGCTAACCAATCCCTACTGCAGACGCTTTCTCAGGCGCATTTGTGTTTATTCAGCATCCACGGAGCCCACCTGTGGTTTATACTGCAACTATGCTGAGCAGACCTTAATTACTGTTACGTGTTATCTAGCGTGATCAACAATTTGAACAAGGCCAGCACACTCAAAACCTCGGCCACGATGACTTGTGACTTCGTGCTAGCACAGCTATCGACGGTACCCAAAGGTTCCGTCTACGCAATTCCACTCAAAGGCTTGGGTCAACCCGTGGTATGGTTTTTCAGGCAGTTTCCCAAAGATCGACCCCTCCAGTCCGTTAACATCAAGAAGTCTCCTTCAGACAAATCGACCATGGTGAGATTCGAACCCGGGTCTCATGGTCAGAATGCGAACGTTCTAACCACTAACCACTCGTTCTAACCACTCGGTCACGTGCCCTTGTCACATGATTAATTCATTTACCTTTTTTTTTAATGGTGGACATAAATATCGAGATTCGGACGCATTAATTTTAAACTTTGAGCCTCAAAGCCGCCGAAGCCGTTCAAAGAATTTGGAAAGAAGGGGAAGCAAGACCTGTGCCTATTATCCCAAAACCGAAGTGATGACTTGTCCCTTAAATAAAACTAAGAAATGGACGCTCATCAGCTTAAAAAGACCCCTGTACTTGAAGATTTTCAGATGAGGAATTGGTTTTTGTTTGTTTAACGGCATATCAATTCCTTATGGGTCATTTAATGCCGAAATTTAATTTTCTTGGCAGATTTGAAGCAATAAAAATATGATATATGTTATTCTGCTTTCACAATTGAATACATGGTAGATAAGACTCAGCTTTTGTGCATATACATGTTAGTTGGCTGGTTGATTTTCTTTAGCAGCATTCAACCTCTATGGGTTATTTAATGCTATTTTGTACATAATTTTAAACTTTCAGAGTAAAAGGTATGTTTTTTTTAGATATATAGATTGTAGATCATACTATGTACTTCTGGTAATTTCACTACAAAAACTGCTGGTAATTTTACTATACAAATATATTGTTGATTTTTGTTTGGGGGTTCGCTATTTACTTATAGCCGGGACCCTAACAGGTGCTACTATCCCAGGTCAGGGTGGACATGGGAACAACAGCAGTTAAGAGGTGGTTCCACGCTCCTCAAAACCTCCAATCTTCCAATTAGAGGCCTTGCTGCCGAATGTAGTTTATCGTCATACCCAGGACGATTCAGATGAGGAAGGAGCCACCAAAGATGCAATATGTCCTCCACAGCATCAACTTAAAATAATGTCGGCGGCCGTGAGAGCTTCCAGATTGATTAAAAAAGTTTTTTGATATACCCTAGAAATAGAAAGCATTTTCGTTGTTTGGAGATATGAGTTCAATCCTTGGGCTTGTCGGAGAAAAAAACTTCAGTGGCTGGTAAAAGAAAACAATGGCTGAAAATCTCCCAAAAGAAGCCCAGACGTGACAAGTTAAGGTTAGGGTTATGTATCATTCCAAAACGGAATAAATGCTTCTGCTCGAAATACCATCAAGGTTAATGCTTGTGTATTATTATTAATTTTGACCTGTAACTTTTTGACCTCTTTTTGAGGTACTTTATTCAGATCATCGATCTACAGTAGTGAGTAGAGAGTGCTGATCGGAAGCAAGGTTTAATCTTTCAGAGAGACATGTCACGTTTGTCGCAAGGAAAATTGGTTAACCGTGCCAGTTGCTCTTATCATCTGAACTACAGAGAACATTAACGGAAGGTAAAATCTAACCATAAAAGGTTACTCTCCACTCATTCAGCCTTTCTTTCTCGTTCTCTCTCACTCTCGGCGCCATATTTGTTTTCCCAACAGCGCCATTCGTAGTAACAATCGAATCTCTCAAATGGTAAGAGCAGCTGGTAGAGTTAACCAGGTTTTTCACCGGCGGTTTATCTTCTATTTCTATCCTGCGTTGTCTATACACTACCGTAGGTCGCTGACCCGTGTAAAGTTGCGATAAAATGGACGTGAAAATTATGAAGAAAGTAAATAGGAAAAATAAATAATAATGGTTGACAATGATTCCTTTTAAAAATACAATTTTATTTTCACCGGCTTTATGTCAGCCTATATTTCTGAGATCAGGTATTATAATTATTTACACTGTTACACTGTTATCCTCATCATTATTGTCATATTCCCGTAGTATGCTCCAGCCTATTTCAGGTGATATACGTTGGAATTTTGCATCGAACCATTTATTTCGTTCACCAGGGTAGATTGTTCTAGTTCCACGTACCATGCCTTTTCTGGATATCCCTGTTTCATTTACTTCTCTTTAGAAACTCCACCTTCCAAATTTTTGTTCACCTCTTCAATTCGAAATTTCAACGTAATTACCTGAAGAAGTGTTGAGCGTACAATAGTCGAAACGTCGTGAATATGACAATAAAGATGAGGAAAATAGTCCGAACAATGTAAATAGTGTAAACGGCTTTATGACGTATTTTAGAAAGAGTGGAGATTACTTTAATCGAAGAATTGTGTTAAAAATAACAAATATCTGAATTCGAGTTCGAAAAGGATTATCGAATAGTTTAATAGTAACAATATCTCGAAAATTCAGTAAAAATTCCAGATCTTCCCGATATGGAAAGAAACATTGAAATATACAATGTCATTTAATGAAATAAATATTGATCTCTTACTAGAAATTCAAGCAACGTTTCCGAATTTTCTTTTGAATAAGGCTTGGTAAATTCTTGAAATGCTTCATTAATAAAACGTTCTTTGGGTCATTTTTAGTGCTGTTTCAATGTCATTTTCGTGTGTAGATTTATTGTATATAAAATACAATTTTGGCACAAGGCCGAAAATTGGAGTGTGGGAGAGGCTGAGGCTGATCATCACTTGCTAAATCGGATTAAATCCTGATGAGAATGTCATTTTAGAGTCAGGAAATATGGAAAAAATTTGCGAAACCTGGACCGTCGCTGAACAATCCTCTAGGGCCTTTCCAACATCACATCATCTAATTAGGTTTTGCTTGGTTTGTTTTACGGCATATCAACCTCAGTGGGTTATTTAATGCCGACAAAATTTTTTTCAAAAATGTATTGCTGGTACGAAAAGCTATTTTTATATTTTCATAGTGTTTTGACGCCTTTTGGTGTGGGTTAACTATTTGCTCATACCTGGGACACTAACAGGTGCTACCACCCTAGATCAGAGTGGATCTAGGAATACCAGCAATTAAGAGGTGGTTCCATGCTCCTCAAAGCCTCCTGATCAGAAGCCTTGTTGTTGGATGTAGTTTCTCGTCTTACCCAGGACGCGGATGTAGTTTCTCGTCTTAGCCAGGACGCGGATGTAGTTTCTCGTCATATCCAGGTCGGTTCGTCTAATTATATAATGGATTTGAGTAATGTTTTCAATAGTTTATCGTTATGATCCTGCTTGAAACCTGATTTAATCAAAAATATTTGGTTGAAATTTATTCAAGTTCTTATACAAAGTTAAAAAAAAATTGGTTTCTTATAATAATATTAACAAAAATAGTACCCGTCAAAAATAACGGCGTTATTTACGAATGGATTATCTAAGATCTCTTGCCTGGGATCAGTGTATTACCTGCGTGCATTGCTTAGGATCAAGTTAATATCCATGCGGTCTGTATCCCTATATACATAACCACACACACACACACACACACACACACACACACACACACACACATCACACACACATATATATATATATATATATATATATAAGGGGCGGCAAAATTAGGTATACAGTAAATTCGTCGGATCTCACCGCTGTGCACTTCATTTTCAGGGCGTCTGTAAAGGATGTGATTTACATTACTGTATACCGACTTTTGCCGCATCTGTTTTATTTTTTTCATGTTTATTTATCTGTCTATATTTATCTATATTCGCCAGTCCATTATCTATCTATCTATCTATCTATCTATCTATCTATCTATCTATCTATCTCAGTCTCTGTCTATTTTTGTCGTATTCTATCCATATCCATTTCATTCTTTTTATAGTCAACTTCATCCCGCCTATCTGTCTAGCGCTTCCTGTCTCTTGTGCGCATGCTTGGCAATGCAAAAGTGAGCATTTCTTTCTTTCCCATGAAGACACTTGAAGCACATGATTCTTACACACACTCACAGACGCATATACAGAGACATCCACACACAGTCACTTAGATCTTTGTATTTAACACACATCTGTTAAACATCCTCACGTGACGCACATGAAAATCACGATGAACGCATCGAAAGGGTTGTACGATCTTTTCCGACACAATTCCACACACTGAAATATGATTTTCTTTTCAATACGATTTGATCAAACCATTTAACACTGACTTTAACACGATATGAAGTGTAACCGCTTACTCTTTCTGCATGACTATGAACATACTTTGCATATATATATATATATATATATATATATATATATATATATATATATATATATATATAAACAGCATTTTACATATAGAAAGTGTAATCGGTGAAATCACTTCATCCGTATTCATCCTCTTTGATCTCCAGAGGATAATGACATGAAACTGCCAGTCGGCATGCAGTGTCGTTTCTATGTCTCTACTGTCTATATATATACACACTGATTGTCTTCCATATTAACAACACTTTTCCCATGGTATATTGTAAATTCTGAACAATATATATATATATATATATATATATAATAAAAAAATAGTTTTAAGAGTATACTATATTTATGGATAAAAGTGCTCATAGAGCATGTGTAAATATAAAACTGGACACTGCGATCAACACCAAGCGGTGACAGTCAGTTTCATATATATATATATATATATATATATATATATATATATATATATAGGGTGTATCAAGAAAACTTTTACAACCATTCTTTATACCAAAACAAGGAGAAAAGTACATATTAACATATATCAGCAAGTCGTTCGTTTTTGAATTATTAAATTTAAAGATTACGGTAGACGTTGTTAAATATAAATTCCAAGATGCAACAATCGAAAAATACTTTCACAAACTTTGGGGACAGGTTCCTGACGCTAAAACATCGTAAATTTGCTTTAAATTAAACGTTGAAGACAGGTTAACTACAAATGTACATGAATGACAAATGGAACCTAGTCTATATGGCAACACAGCACCATCTACCATAGACATTCTTTAAACTTAATAACTCAAAAACGAAGGAGTTGTGGACATATTTTTATATGGACTTTTGTCTTTGTTTTAGTGTGAGGAATCTAACTCCAAAATTTGTAAAAGTATTTTATATATATATATATATATATATATATATATATACAGTCGTCCCTCGTTTATCGCGGTTAATCAGTTCCAGACCGCGATAAGTGGATTTCCGCGAAGTAGGATTCTTTATATATAACTCGAATATTTTCGTAGTTAGAGCATAGAAAACCTGTTTACGGCTTTCTAAATAAGACTTTTGACATTATAAGAGTTCTCTAGACATAAAATAGTCTGTAGTCACCTTTACATTTATATTACTCAATATGAGAAAATAAGACATATTGGATGTTACAAATATCATATTATGATTGTACATTAAAATGACACACACAGTTCTTATGTGTATATCGCTTCATCATCGAACAAGTTGCATTATTTTCCTAGGCTAGTGTGAACCTAGGAAAATAATGCATCTTGTTCAATGATGAAGAGATGTACTGCACAACAAAGGTTACTGCGCCTTGAAATCATTTACATAAACATTTCTTTATTCATTGGAAGGACTAATAAGACTAATTTGATGTTTTCTTTTCAGTACGTCCTTGAAATCAATTATCCTATTTTGATAAATATCTTTCTATGTAGTTTTAGTTTTGTTGCCAAATATAATAATTGGCTTTATTTTAATCAAATACTATTGCCTTGTTGTTTTGTACTTGGTTTGTTGTCAACTTACTATCTTCTGAACAATTTTGTTTGCTGATTTCTTTGTACCAACACGCAGCCAAACACATCACCAACAAGTGATCCACAGCACACCCGCAACAATGGCCTATCAGTGAACAGCACGTTCTAATTGCCTTAGTTTCGCCACGCCCGATTTTTGAATAATACAGTCCTGGAAAAAAGTTCTTGCTCACACACGAGTGGTCGAGCGGCTGCACCTGGTGTTGAAGGATTTGCGGGTGTGCTCGAATGCATAGGCCTACAGTAATTTTAATACAGGGGGGTATAATTGACTCAGACGACAGAGTGAACGCTGTATTATTTTCACTGTCTTGATCAACTGAAGGACCGGCTGTGTGTCTGCTCCTGAGATCTGGGCAAGAACTTTTTCCCAAACCCTGTAGGAGATCGAAGTCAACTGCGAAGTAGCGAGGAACCGCGATATGAATTTTAATGAAAAGATCTGACAAAAACCGCGATAGTGAAGCCACGAAAGTCGAAGCCACGAAGTGGCGAGGGACTGCCTATCTGTTTATTTTTATATGAAAACAAAAGCTAAGGAAAAGAGGAAAAAGAAAGAACGGGTGACGACTAAAAGGTTAAAGGTTAAGTAAGAAAGCTTGAGAAAAACGAAAATTAAAGCGAATGAAAATAAAGCAATACGGATAGAAATGAAAGAAAGATATAGACTTGATATCTTGATTTCTTTTACTTCTTCTAATCCCAATTGCAGACGTTGGCTCAGTTACGTTTGTCTTTATTTAATACTCTCAGAGCCAATTATTTTACAAATGCTACAGTCTTAACCGTCATCTGACGGAATACATTTTTGCCAGTGGGCAATGTAAGGTTTTCACATTTTCACTTGTTAATATGCATGCTTGTAAATTTAAACGGGTTTTCATCACATATGTGTAAAGAAACCTGATTCAATATCTATTTGATCTTTGAAATTAGTGACAGGTAACAAACACTTGCTGTAAACATGATTTTTTTTTTAGAATGCCTACTTTATATTTAGGGCAATTTTTATTTACAGGTTTTTATTTTTTTTTTCTGTCTTCAGACATCAAACGATGGTTTAAGTATTCGACAGTAATTTTATTTTTTTATCACTGACTTTACCCATTTTTATCTTAGAATTCAAACCAACATTAAGAATAAAAAAAAAATGACTTAAATGATTACAATGATTTTTTTTATGCTTTTTGATCCGTGTCAAGTCGAAATTAGCAACGTATGAATTTAAACATTTTACGATGCCATATTTTGAGATGATGCGCAAATAGTGTAGTGGTTAGCGACTCGGAGCGAAAGGAATACCTTCTCTCCCCAGGTAAGGGCTAAATAATAAGCAACTTGGATTTTTAGTCGTATTTGCCAACCAGTTTAGGAGGAGGAAAACTTTGATATTCAATGAATGGTTAGACATGGGACACAGATAACGTCTCTATAAAACAAAAGCACGTTATATTTCAACAGCTTTGGGTGATCCCAATGGGCGTGCGACTAAAGGATGCAGTCATTGTGTTATGTATGTAAAATATGAAAGTTCTATCTGAGCTACTTACACTTTCTGCTATGAACAAAATGTAGCGTGACGTTTTGTGCTGGGGAACCAATGGATATATATATATATATATATATATATATATATATATATATATATATATATATATATATATATATATATATATATATATATATATATATATAAAGTTTTAAATACCTAGGCGCAATTTTGTCTAAAGATGGTCTCTGCAACTCGGAAATGCACACGGATTGCCTCAGCCATAGTACCGGTGGCCAAATTGGCAACAATATGGAGGAGAAAAATCGGCTTTCAAACAAAGTACAGCCTCTACAAATCTCAGGCAGTCTCCATTCTCCTATGTGGATGCGAAACGTGAACACTTTTGGCAGATTCAGAGAAAAGGATCCAAGCAGTTGAGAACAAATGCATGAAAAAACTTCTTTGGCATTTTCTATTGGGAACAAAAAAAACAACCCCCCCCCCCAAAAAAAAAAAACAAAAAACAATTAGTTTGTGTGCAAAAGTATTGAAAGTTTTGTGGGCCACCAGGACAATGTTAAACAATGGACTATACCAGAATTGCTGATGGCTGCCATTGATAGTCTGTTGTGGAAGAGATTCAATATGGCTTCTGCATTTGAATCTCCCCTATGATTACAAAAGTCAAGGAGATGATAATGATGATGATGATGATTGTCCTCCTCAATTGCTTACCAACCAAAACTAGAGAACAGTCTGACATGATATTTGACTCAAAGAGATGGATTCATGCTTTTCCAAAGGGTAAAAATGGTGTGGTTTGGATATAGTACAAGGCACGACAGTTTGCATCATGCAAGGCACCATTGAAGGATATAGAGGAGGATGCCAACTTAAAAACTGGTTGGACAACATCAAAAAATGGACAGGGCTGACTGTACCAGAATTGCTGATGTCTGCTGTGGAAAAGAGTTAGTGTGGCTTCTGCATTCGGATCCGTCCTACGATTACAAAAAGTCAAGGGTAGATGATGATGATGATGATGATGATGATATATATATATATATATATATATATATATATATATATATATATATATATATATATATATTTGAAACTAACTGCGTCTCTCGTATGTCAACAAAGCCCAATCCGATGAAACCCTAACGGATGAAACGCGTGACAAAAAAACAAAACAAAGAAAAAACAAAACAAAAAAAAACCTTTACCTGTACTATATATATATATTCAAAAATTATAACATAAATATGTTACAAAATCACTACAAAAATAGCTATTTTGTTTCAACACTTCTGGTGTCTTATCAAGTGATGGTGTTGAATGTAGAATAAGGGGTTTTCAAAGGTTCAAATCAATCAAACACCCCTCCCTAGGCGAAACACTGTTACATAAGCTGGAATGACCGATCAAAATACAAATATATGAGAATTCAAAAAACTTGACAATGAACTTTGGTTATAATAATTATTTAATGCTTTAATGTTAGGGTTAGACTAAAGTAGAATTCATTCTAAGTAATAAATATTAAGTTATACTATTACATTCATAATTAGAAATTACCAATTTTAAATTTAACATATATTAAGTTTAAAATTATAAAATTATTTAAAGAAGAAACTGAGGAAAATACATATGTTTTTCTGTTTATTTTGTTTTTATTGAAATTAA